TAGTAGTAGTAGTAGTAGTAGTAGTAGTAGTAGGAGTAGTAGATATGAAAAAGGTGTTGTTCAGACTCTGTGGCGCCTCCAGACTCCAGGGGTTGGGGGTTGCTCCGACTTTGTCTCTCGTTGTCCGACTGTGTCTCCTCGCTCCTACCCCCTTTTCGTATGCTTTTCCCAGTCCTTTTCTTCCTCTTCCTCCTCTTCCTCCTCCTCCTCCTCCTCAACCTCCTCCTCATCCTCCTCATCCTCCTCCCCCTCCGCCTCCTCCTCCTCCTCCTCCTCCTCCTCCTCCTCTCTCCTCTCTCTCCTCCTCTCCTCCTCCTCCTCCTCCTCCTCCTCCCCAAGAGGCCTCTAAGACGCCCACGATGGCCTCCAAGACGGCCCTGAAGCGCCTCAAGAGGACCCCACATCGGTTCAGAGAGGCCCCCAAGACGGCTTCCGACGGCGCCAGACCCGTCAGACGGGCCAGGAACGCTTTAAGACGGCCAAGGAGAGGCCCCCTAGACGCCCCCAAGGCTCCCAAGAGGCCTAAGGAGGCCCCCGAGAGGCTTCAAGAGGCCCCCGGGAAGCCCCCAGGAGGCCCCAGAAGAGTGTCCCAAGAGGCTCCAAAGAGGCCTCCTCCTCCGTCCTCCTCCTCCTTCTCCTCCTACTCCTCCCTCTCCTGATCCTCCCCCTCAGCCTCCCCCAAGTGTTCCCCGAAGAGTTTCCGGAGCGGCTGGGGGAATCCATGATCAGATAGCTTGGCCAAGCTGGGGCCCAACGTTTGGCCACATAGGCGCTTCTCAAAAAGGCTGGGGGCGGCGGTGATTCGCCGTGGGCGTCTTGGATCCGCCGCCCCCTGTGCTTGCCACAGGGGTGGACGGCGTGCCAGACATTTTGCTGCCCTTATCATTTTCAAACCCTTCCCAGTGGCCTTCGGCCCAGACCGCCTGCCCCTCGGAAGGACCAGAAGGTGTGGCCCACATCGCCACCAAGGCGGCCCAAATGGCCCAAGATGGCCACCAAAATGCCTCCAAGGCCGCTAGGATTGCCCCAAGAGAGCCCAAGACGGCCCCAGTCTGTCTCCAAGACGGCCCAAGATGCACCCGAGGCGTTCCAAGATGGCCCCAAGATGGCCCAGGACGGCCCCCAAGGCCCCCAAGAGGCTTTAATGCAGTCCAAGAAGCCTCCAAGGGGACCTGCAAGAAGGCCCGAAGAGGCAAAGACAGCTGATTGCCCGTGGGCTCTTGACGGATTTTGACGTTTTCGGCCTGCCGACGGCCCAATGCCGCCGAAGAGACCCCCAAGATGGCCCGAAGAGCGCCCAAGAGGCCTCCAAGACGGCCCCACGACGGCCTCCAGACAGTCCAGGAGGCCCCCAAGGCGCCTCCAAGACTGCCCACGAGAACTCCAACGCGCTCACTCGTCATCGTGGTCGTCGTCGTCGTCGTCGTCGTCGTCATCGTGGTCGTCAACCCTCTTCCAGTTTCCTAATCAAACCCCTCTCCCTCTCCCTCCCCCCTCCACCAACCCCCCCCCCCCCCCCCACCCCCCCCCTCCCCCCCCCCTCCGCCCCCCCCCTCCATCCCCCTCCAACTCCCCCTCCAACTCCCCCTCCACCTCCCCCTCCACCTCCCCCTCCACCCCCTCGGATGTCCCTTGGAACCTTTTTGGGAGCACCCATGGGGGCTCCAGAGGGCCCCAAGAGGGCTCCAAGACGCGCCCAAGAGATGATGATGCCAACGACGATGACGACGAGGGGGACGAGGACTGGGACGATGACCAGCAGGACGGGGACGAGCAGGACGAGGCGGCTGCGGCCACGGCAGTACCGACCACGACGCCGTCCCCTCTCGCGGCAGCACTCTGGCTGGGGCGGGCGGGCGCGCCATCGCACCCATCGCTGGCGGCGATGGCGTTCGGCGACGACGAGGACGGGCGCGGGCCTTGGGCGCGGGCCTTGGCCGGGGCCTCCCTACGCATCCCCCTCCTCCTCCTCCTGCTGCTGCTGCTGCTGCTCCTCCTCCCCCCCCTCCTCCTCCTGCTCCTCCTCCTCCTCCTCCTCCTCCTCCTCCTCCTCCTCCTCCTCCTCCTCCTCCTCCTCCTCGGGCGCGGGCCGTGGCCGATTGCCAGAAATTGGCGAGTTCCTGGCGTTAGTTTTTCTGGTGTCTCTGTCTCTTGGAGTTCGCTGCGCGGTGAAACCAGAGACAGTTGACCTCGCGAACGCGAGCTCCGTCGAGACTTGCCGAGCCAACTCGCCCGCCAGTGATCCCGTATCGCTCTACGAGCTGTAGATCTTCGAGCTCTGGGAGGCTCCACGAGCCACTCGAGCTTCTTAGGCTCGCCAGAGAGGCTCTACTGCGGGCAGGATTCATATCCATAGCCACTGCGTCTTGGTATTTCAGGGAGGGGGCGCCAGGAGGCTGCGGCGCAGCGGGTATGGGTACAGCATCTGACATCTGGGGGCGAACGTAGTTTATCCATATCCACGTGGCGCCTCTGGTATCGGAGGAAGGGAGCCCCAAACTCCAAGACGCAGTGGATATGTATAAAGATCTTGCCCGCATCTGCGAGTCGCTGGCTTCTCAGAAGGCGCTGGCCTTTGCTATAAACGTAAGGCCGGGGCCTTCTGAGAAGCAGGGTGCTTCCAAGAAGCCTTCCCCCCCTCTCTCGTACACCCCTTCTGCGCGCCGACAACTGTGGGCGCCAGGACAATTCCTTGAACCCGCAAGTCTCTGGGCGCCGAGGGTTTTCCTCTCTGAGCTCCCGTGACAGGAGAACTCAGGGAGGAGACCCCTCCCTCCCTCGGGAGAGCGTGTGCCTCGAGTTTGCCAGGCCTCGTGTTTCGCCGGTCACCCCCGTCCGCTCCGCAGCGTGCCCCGCTGCGTCAGCGCTCCAGCCTTCCCCTCCTCTCCCGCGGCCGCCCCGCCCCTCCTCTTTTTCCTCTCTTGCTGCTGGCGATTTGCAATGCCGTCCCCTGGCTTGCCTGGGCGTGCGTGCGGACTGCCTTTGCCGCGCTGCGACGGAAGAAGTGTTTCACCAGCCTGCCGCCCCTTCTGTTGGCGGTGCCTGCGTCAGTTCAGATGGTCCAGTGTTCGTGAAGTCTTTGCAGCGGGCGCTCGTGTCAAGTTTCGCAGCAGGACCCGCCATTTTTCTGACAGCTCCGTCATGCACGTTCGGCTTTCGCAGGCGACTGTTCTCTCCCAGCCTCGGTTTGTCGACGAAAATGAGGCTGCTCAGAAAAGGATAGGACGCACCCCTATCGAGGATGGACGCCCCCAAATCGTATATCCCAAGGTTGGGCCCCAAACTTATGGTCCGTCCTAGTCGAAAACTCCGCGAAACTTGGGATGAGGGCGACGCATCCCATGTTAGTCATGCAACTTCGAGTCCTCTAAGAACGAGTCCTACTTCTCCCCAGCTCCCCCCTCCCTCCTCCTGGCGCCTCCCTCTCCCACGCCTCCCCTCTCCTCGTCCTTCTCCTCCTGCTCCTCCTCCTCCTGGTCTCCCTCCTTCTCTCCGCGTCCTTCTCCTCCTACTCCTCCTGCTCCTCCTCTCCTCGTCGTCGTTCTCCTCCTCCTTGTCGTCCTTTTCCTCCTCCTCCTCCTCCTCCTCCTCCTCCTCCCTATATCCATGACCCATGGGCCTTTTCCAGTGACAGGAGAATTCAGAGGCCCTCAGGAAAAGGTGATTCAATGGATTCGTTCTCGCCCTTTCGCTGTCGCGCCGCTGTGCGGCCGTGTGTGGTGCCGTGAGTGGTGCCGTGATTGGTGCCGTGTGCTTGCCGCGCTGTGCTTGGTGCCGTGCGTGCGTGCGTGTGGTGCCGTGCTGGGTGCTGTGGCCGTGTGGTGGTGCGTGTGTCGTGCCGTGCCGAGTGTTGGGCTGTGTGCGGTGCGGAGTGCCGTGCCGAAAGCGGTGTCGTGTGCCGCCCGCGCCCGGGGCGGGGTAGCAAGTACCGGCGGCGCCTGTGCCCAATCGGGCTGGTCCTGCCCAATCGGGCGGCCGAGGAGGTGCAAAAGGGTGCATTGCAGCGTCCTGTCGGGCGGCGCGTGCCTTGAATGAGAGACGCCTTCCGGCGAAAAACCCGCCCACCTTCCCAAGTGCCGTCCGGTCTGGGGACGAGCTGCAGGAGTGGCTCTGTCCGCCCGGACCGGCTGCGTCTTTCGCATTGACCCATAGTTGGCGCGACGGCGCTTGGGCGACAAACGTGGGGGTAGTGAGAATTCTCTGCCTCCGCCCCCTCTTCCGCGTCCACTCCTCAATCACCACGCCAACTCCGTCTTTAATGTCCTTCCCCCCCCTCCTTCTCAGAACTTCCACAAAAGAGCTTTGCTGAACGATGTCCAGACGAATCAGATTCCACAATCCGCGGCCTCACCTACATGGTCACACCGAAGCTCAGACGTTGTCCGCAGCGGTGGTCGTTCGTTCGTTCGTTCCTCGGCTTGGATCGGAAGGGAGGAGGAGGAGGAGGAGGAGGAGGAGGAGGAGGAGGAGGAGGAGGAGGAGGAGGAGGAGGAGGAGGAGGAGGAGCATGAGGAGGAGGAGCAGGAGGAGGAGGAGGAGGAGAAAAAGAGGTGGCGGGAGGAGGAGGAGGAGGAGGAGGAGGAGGAGGAGGAGGAGGAGGAGCAGGAGGAGGAGGAGGAGGAGGAGGAGGAGGACGACGAGGAGCAGGAGGAGGAGGAAGAGGAGGAGGAGGAGGCCAGAGGAAAAGGAGGAGGATGCGCGAGGAGGTTGCGCGAGGAGAAGGCTAGAGGAGGAGATGGAGGAGGAGGAGGAAGAGGGGGAGGAGTAGGAGGAGGAGGAGGGGGAGGAGGTCGGAGGAGGAGGTAGGAGGAGGAGGAGGAGGAGGAGGAGCAATACGAGGAGGAGGAGGAGGAGGAGGAGGAGGAGGAGGTATTTGAAGATAGCCGTGTGGCTTGGTGAGGATGTTAGTTCGTCCGATACGTTTCGGACTTTTTTGCATGTTTGTCCGATGCCATTGGTATTCGGCTCAAGTGCTGTTTCCCTCCACGAAAAAGCTCCGACCATATTTTCATGGTAGCGGAGCACGTGGTTTGCCCCATGTGTTCCAGTGCGTGCGATTGATTCCGCACAGCACTTGGCTCCTTGCGATGGCCGCCGCGGCGGCCGCAACAGCCTCGCCGAACCCAGGTACAGCTGACCCGGATTTTGATGTGACGCTACACGGATTCCTAGCGAGTTGGTACATTTGAGCACGAACCGATTCGCGGATTTGTGCAATGCCGGTTACGATAATGGAGATATCAGGTACGTTACCACCGTTTTCGAAGCGAACAACGAAGGCATGACGCTGTTTTTTGAGCGCAGCGCCAGGCTGGGTACCATGAGGGTTGACGAGGATGAGGTTTTCACGATGCTACGGATGAGCTGCAATATGAATGCTTTTATGTTGCCGGTCATCAAGCGCAGCATATTTTGCGAGGAGCCGTCCAACAGACCTGACCCAGTTTTAGGGGTGGAACGAGAAGTTGTTTTCGGAACGTTGTAAAACATATGGGCAACAAGCTCGACACCATTGTTATGGCGCTACCTGGCGACGGAGAGGACGATATGATTCAAATTATGAATGGAACGATGCTAAACAACTACGTACGAGCTCGACGATGGCGACTACGCGGAGTTCGACGAGGATCTCTGGTGCTTGTTGAATGACACAGTGGAAAGGAGCGGAGACACGGGGGAAGCTCAAGGGCTCGCACTAGGGAAATGGCCCAAACAAGTACCAGCGAATATACCGATAGGACCACCCTACGGGTGATAAGGAGGTTCGGGGGGGGGAAAGGGGAGGCAATCGATTTTCTATGGCCCGGAGTTCCTTGCTGGTTTCGTCAACTGTCCTATCTATCGTTCGACCTACAGATCGGGTAATTTATTCAGAGTGCCCATATGTTTATGTAGCTCTCGATAGATATGTTTATTGTTTAAGCAACTACTGCTCTAGACGTCTATCCATGAATCTATCTGTATGCATGTACATATATGTATGTATTTTTGTATGTTTATCCACCTATATATATATGTAGAGACATATATTTCTATGTTTCTCGACATATGTATCTACTGAACGTTTTATATATAGATTCATGGTGGGGAGTGGTGGTGGTGGTGGTGATGGCGGTGTTGGTGGTGACGGTGATGATGGCGACACCGCGCCGATTCCCCGGTGCCGCCGCCGCGCCGCATCGACCCGACTCAAAGCAGGCACTTCGCGAAACATCGGCCCACGCAGGCCTGGCAGAGCCTGGGCCTGCATCTCCGTTTTTGTTTTTCGCCCCCACCGCTGCGCCCGCTTGGATCGAAATGCGTATTTTTCGTTTGCGGAAACACATCTTGCGCGGCCTTCCTGCTTGCTGGACGCCGAGCGCAGCGCGCCAGCGGCATACCCAAACGCTAGTTCGGTGTTTCCCTTGGTGACGGCCAGTTTGAATTGCGCATTTCTGGCCGCTGGGCCGTCCGCAGTGCTGCCGCCAGGCTGTGCGTGCCATTCGCAACCGCTGGGCCTCCGTGCCCGGTGGCTTGCCTGGCAGAGCCTGGGCTGCTTCGCCGAGGGGCAGCAGAAACCCTGCGCCGCATGTGCACGCGCGCGCGCGCGTGCGCCGTCGCTGTGAAGCGGGGGCCCCAGCCTAAGGCACATGTGCCATGCGGCTCCAGGGCATTGAACAAGACACATCTGCTTTCCACAACGTGAGTGTCAATTTGGTTGGCACCGACATCGCGCCGCCACAGACGACCACCTGTGAACCGCCTAGTTGCGATCGGCGCCGTCTGGCCCACGTTCGGGTCTTAATGCTCGCCTGCCTCGGAGGAGCACGCGACTGCTATTTTGCAGAGCGGTAACTTCGGTAAATGGCGCCGGGCGAAGCCTGCCATTATTTCGTGAGGATTGGGCGGGCACGGGTGTGTACCGAA